TTTTTTTTTTTTTTTTGTTGAGTTTTTCGGCAAAGAAGATGTAAAATATAACTTTAAACAAGTTTAAGTTTACGCATTTCAACGTTCCTTTGGATTTATGTTTTGGTGTCGTTGGTGTCGTTGTTGTCGGTTTTGTCGGTTTTGTCTTTCATGATTATTACAAATATAATTATTGGTGTATTGTTGTTGTTGTTGTACTGCAAAGATATTGTGTTGGCATCCATTGCGCTGAGTACGAGCAGTACTTTAGGTTGGTACTCTTGTTACTCGTGGTATTTGTTGTATCTGTAGTATGCGCTATGCGCTATTCGCTATTCGCTATGCTGTCGACTGACTATAAAATGCCAGTAATGAGTGGCTGTAGTACGCATTAATTGTTCAGTACTTCATCGATTAACAACAATCGCACTTGGACTTATAGCACTTGCTACCAATAAAAACTTCAGAAATAACAAAACAAAATATCTACAAAAATGAAATTCGTTATTGTTTTTGCTGCTTTGTTCGCCATCGCTCTTGCTGCCCCAGCACAACAAGAAGCGCAAGTATTACGTTACGATTCGGATGTACAGCCTGAGGGATATAAGTTCATGTGAGTTATTTTTTCTTTTACTGTGAATTTAATTGTTAATCTTTTTGGCTACTTTTGCGAATATATGCGAAAGTAGGTCAGGAGACAAGGTCGTTTGAGGCAATTACTGAAAATTAATAAAATTATATATTTTTTTTAATTTAAGTGTCGAGACCAGTGATGGTAAAACCCATCAAGAAGAGGGACAACTCAAGGACGCTGGCACCGATCACGAAGCCATTGTAGTACGTGGCTCCTACTCATATGTTGGTGATGATGGTGTTACCTACACAGTGACCTATCTTGCCGATGAGAATGGTTTCCAGCCTGAGGGAGCACATTTGCCACATGCTTAGAGTGTGTATTGTGAAATATCCTCGAAAGAAAAAAAACGGACAAGGATGTTCCTTTCATAATACTCAATACGTTGTGTTAACTAGGTTTAAGCAAGTTTTTTAAAAACGAATAAAAAATATTATAAGTAAAAGTTAAATTTTTAAATTATTACTTTGAATTTGATATCGGTTGAAAGGCATACCAATCATTATGGGAATCATTATAGCAACAAACGAAATAAACGTCTTCACGGTGTTTTAATTGCGGTTACTCAGAATAGAGTTATTCAGCAAAAATTAAAAAATAAAATATAAACAATTTAATAAATATTGAGTTGAATTTCAAAAAAATTGATTTAATTGATGAAACTAAATATTAATTACAAATATTACACATTTGATTAAAATTTAATTCATCAGTAAATTACAAATATGACTGATATTGATTCAATTTCTCAACGAGTGGCAATTAACAGATTTAATTATTTTCATATGTTTGTTATAAGTTATAGTAAAAATATTAATTCTTAAAGGATTTTTTTTTTTAAATCCGGAGAATGTATCCATAGTAAAGTTTATTATGCATTTCTGCAAGGTGTTTCAATTCAGTACAGATTTAAAAAGTATTTTTGCCTAGTATCATTAAAAACTGATTGACTTATGTGTGAGTTGAAAAATATTTATACTTAGTATATTTTTAAAGACATTGAAAATCAATATATAATATATACTATATAATTTTTAATAATAATTTTTTTTTCAACAGCCAATAGTTAAATATATACTTCATAAAAAGAAATAAACAATTTTTACTTGTTTCTTCTTTCAATTAAAAAAATTTTTTTTATTTTTAACCTATATTTCGACTATATTCCCTAGTCATCTTCAGGATACTATATAAGAATTACATATATTGAGAAATTATGTAATAATATAATAAAATAATAATACGATACTTTGAGAATAAAAATAAAATACATATATAGAGGAATGATATATTTACCCTCTTCTGGATTTGTTGAAGGTGTTTTTATACTCCTGACCACAGTGTTGTATATCAGTTTTATAATTCATCCTGGTGTCATTAGTAGTTTCTAGAATATGGAGCATATCCAAGAAAATTCTTTTTTGTTGGATTATTTTTTTGTTGTAAAACCTCTATATTATCTAAGTCTGGCTTGTTTTTTGATGTAAAGCACTGTGAAGCCATTTATATATTATAGTTCATCTGAATTCTTTTTATTCTTTATAATTTTAGATAAAATCACTAAAAGTAATTTATAATTTTACCGGTTGCAATACGGTAATTTGAAACAAAAGGGAGAGAGATAGTATACTTTCAACGTAGTAAGAGAAATGTAACATAAGGCATGTAGACTTTAATACATGGTATCTGCCAGAAAGGTTCTCTCTGGTATCGACCATTTTATTATATACACGAACATAAATAGTTTTAGGTTTTACATACAAAAAGATAAATATGCAAATTGGCTAAAACAAAACTTTTTAAATTTAAAACATGCAATAATGAACGCCGCTTTATTTATAATTCTCATTAACTTTTTATATGATATAGTTGTAAGTTACAAACAAACTTCTACATTTAAGATGAGAATAATTTTAATATCTTGTTGTAAAAGCTATGTAAAGTTATTGCAAAAAAGTGTTAATCTTGAATGAAATTTATGATTGGGAAATGTAAGAGTTAATTTAACAATGCACACTTCAGTGCGAGTCTGACGCTAAAATAGCAGTTATTTGAATAATAAATTACACTTTACGTCGAAAACCGAATACTTAAGGGATAATAAACTTAAGTGTATGTTGTAAAACTGGCTCTAAAGCTTATAGTATCGAACAGAGTATGCCGATACTTGCAATGTGGGAAATCGAATTTTTTGTAATATTGTTTATAGCTGGCAAGTACATATATCTACAAATAATTTTATAGTCCATTGCATAAAAAAAAAATTGGAAAGATTTTATATGTTACATAGCTAAGCTGTGAGATTTGTTTTCTTTAAGTTTTAAAAGTTTGTTCCTCATAATTATTATTTTTCATATAATTTCTGTTCCTATTTAATAGTTATTTTGACATTTAAGACTCTTTCGAGGTTTGGAGACTTATGGTGCTTTGCGCCTAGCCGCCCGACATTTGTCATCATTTGAATTTCGTTTTGTACTGTTATTCCAAAATTTATGTTTTCTATTTTATAAAGAGGTTTTTCGAACAGTAGTGAACTACAACAACAAAAATTTTTTTTTTTTTATATTATTTTAATTAATTGAATTTTTGGCTGACCATACAGCTGTTTCGAATATTGCCAAATACCCATCATCGGTGGTCTTCGAAATAATTCTTGTATTTAATTATTCGTAAATAATTATTTTTTTTAGACTGCAAGTACCAGGAATCGAACTTGGGTCCTACCAAACTTGAAGCTCAGAGTCAGTGCTCCTTACCTAACTGACTCAAAGCCGTACTTGACTTTTATGTTCGCACATTTTTTGGAGTTTTGTTACTTTGCTGTGAAAATTATTATTAATAAATTCACTTACTGTGTTTATATTAGAACGAAATCATAAACCAGCTGGGAAATAATTGAATTAATTAATTAATATATTTTTATTTTTAATTGTTAAATTTCAATATGTTACTATTCTGTTCGTAGAGGCAATATTTATTACATGATTTGTTCTTTCTTAGGTATAGAACCTAATCTAGGAACGTAATGCTGACAAAGTCATGCTAATGTTACTCCACTAGTTGCACGGGCGAGACCAATTTTATTGTGTTTTCTATTTTTAAAATTAAATAAAATTAAAATGTACACATATGATCTATTGTTGCCTGTTTGTAAAAATGCGTATTAATATATATAAGTATCTATTAAAGTAGGCCACCTAAGCCTACTCAATCAATCGAATAGACAATCATATAAACACAAACCTTCAAATATTCCGATTCTTTCTGCTAAAACTGATATGCATTTGAAAGTAATTATTATTTGTTTAATCTAAAAGAATCTATTTGTTTTGTAGTATTATTTTATACATCAGTTCAAATCAAAGACTTAGGTTTTTGTAATTTACCTTAATTTTTACAGATCAATTTAATGAAATCAGTAAAGAAGCTCACTTTAATGCACATAATGCATTTAACAAAATTCTTATAAATTTTTTGAGGACAATATGCTAGATCAGTATCCACTTTTTCAACACTTCTAACTCTCATCAGTTTATACTAACATACCACAAATACACATAAATTAAAAAAAAAATTTTCTTATAAATTTTACTATATTTATTTAATACTCAACAGTCATAGCAGGGAAAACAATATTAACTATTTAAGCTTGTGGCAAATGAGCACCTTGTGGTTGGAAACCATTTTCGTCAGCAATGTAGTTTACGGTGTAGGTTTGGCCGTCATCAGCAACGAAGCTGTATGAACCGCGTACTTGGATGGCTTCGTTTTCGGAGCCAACATTGTTTAGGTGACCTTCAGCGTTGGCTGATACACCGTCGCTGGTTTCATAGCTGTAATCAAAAATAAGCGACATTAATTGATATCGAAATTTGATCACCGATTAAATCAGCAAAAATCGAAATTATTCCACTTTGCTGCTTGTCTTCTTATACAATATCTACTTACGCATAGCTGAAGGATTCAGGTCCTACGATGGATTCTGAGCGCAAGACTTGAGCATCCTCTGGACGAGGAGCAGCCAAGGCGACAGCGAAAAGAGCAGCGAAAACAATAACGAATTTCATTTTTATTGTATTAATTTTTGATTAAAAACTTATTTGTTTGGCGTACAGCAAAACCGTAAGACGAATGATACTGACTTGTAGAAACACTCCGGCTTTTATATCTACAAAGTTTATCCAAAAAGATGCAAACTATCAAAAATGATGGATTTACCAAAAAAAAGTGCGTACATCAATATATCTTTTAAATAAATATATATATTTAAGTTAATAACTTTTGTCTTGCCTTTGTTGGATATAACAGACATAATCATTGATGAAGTTGTAGAAGAAGAAGTAACAATTAGTTAATTCAACCGGTAATTTTTTAAAGATTGAGGCAAAACTGTAGCCATGTTTCTGTATAAAAAAATAAATTTATAAAATTTAAATAAAACATACAAAAACTAATAACAAATTATTATATAAGCAATTAATAAAGATAGAGTTTACAAAAACAACACATCATTAATCTATTCTACCGTGTGGTGCCGCATGCAAATTCGCAGAAATCTTCCATACAAAATACAAACTAAATAAATATTATAATGCTCTTGAGCCTATAGTTAATCTTTTTGTTCTAACCAATATTTGGTGTTGGTTTCTGTTTCAATCTACCAACTCGAATTTGTATATACAACAAAAAAGATGCACACTTCAAGCGTTCTATTGACCTAACTTTGAGACCGCAAAGCAACACGAATTATTGAAAGTGAAACTGATTTTTGGCAAAAATCATTTAATGATTAATGATATTTTCTTCAAAATGAAACCAATGAAACCTCAATGAAGTTATAAACATTCGTATGTTCATGAAAAACCAACATTGAAAACTTATACCGCCAGATACTTTTGCCAGATACTTTTTGTTTTATTGTTAATTACTAGGTGTTCAGTGTTTATGTTATGCTTTATGTTATGTGTATATCAAGTACTGATAGATATATTCATATCATATGTACAATACATATATGGTAACAAGCAGAAGTACATATTTATAAATTTCATCATATATTGAACATTTCTCGTCTGGCTTTTGGATTCTTTAATTAAAATAAAAGTTGCTCTGCAAGCCGGCAAATGCTCTGTTCTGTTATTATGAATATATTATAAATAAATTAGAAATTATATTTAGATAAAAGTCTAACATATACGCACATTTTTAAATTTTTTTATCACAAAAATAGTTATTTAATATGCGCATTTTAATATTATATATGTAGAGTTATAATCTAAAGAACTATAATTACTTTTTGATTAATATAATTAAAATAATTAATTAAAATAAATAGAAATACGACAAAACATTTATTACATATATATGTATATATATGTGATATATATACATACATACCCGTTGTGACCAGATAACGGGTATGGGTCTAAGGATTACGTTTAATCAAAGTTTTCACTAAATGGAGCGATGGTTGCCATTGTGTACGATGATTGTGGTACTACCATATTGAAACCAAATGGAAATTTACACAATTTTGAAAGCAAGAAAGCGTTTAATATGGTTCGATATGCGGTGTTATTAACGATGACACTTGTATTTTTTGTAATTTTTAAAAAAATACCGGTCCGTAAACAATACCGAATAGTGAAATTTTTAGAGTGCATCTCCTTTGGTTCTTTGGCTACTCCAAATGTGATCATTTCTTAATTGAAGTGATCAGTGGACTTATATTGTAGCACTCTGTAAGCTATATTTGCAGAATATTTATATTACATTCACATCTAAATAATTAAAGATTAATTATCAACTGCGTTAGTATTAAAAGAACACATTATATAGCAACTGTTCTATTCTATTGTTATGAAAATGTTAGAAAAAAGTTTGATAAATATTAAAAATTATATTTGGATTAAAAGTATAACAAATGCACACCTTTGTTCATCTTGTTTTTAGAAAAATAATTGTTTGATTTGATTTAATATTATACGCACAAAGTTATTTGAAAAACTTAGATCTCTAAGAGATAAATATGACATATATTTATCTGGGTTTACTAATATATATCGTTCATCATTAAGTTTAGATAAATGTAGATAAGTTTATATCATTTGTAATCTCTTCTTTTCTGTATTATAATTTATGTAGGATTATTATAATTATCCCATCTTATTCATTAGATTATATTCGATTTATATCGAGTTCAGTGTATCCTTCTCTAAAATCTATATTCTTCTTTCTTTAATTCACAATACTATACTGTAGAAAATTTTTGTTTCAATTTTGTCAATAAAACATTTATAATTTATTTATATTTAATTAAAACTAATTAACAAAAACTTTCAGTCATGTTACTTAATTAAGCAACTGGAATATGTGCTCCTTGTGGTTGGAAACCATTTTCGTCAGCAACATAGTTGACTTGGTAAGTAACACCATCGTCACCGACGTATGAGTAAGATCCATGTACAGAAATGGCTTCATCATCAGTACCGATATTTTTCAATTGTCCTTCTTCTTGGAAAGATTTGCCATCGCTAGTTTGAACTCTGTAATATTTAAGAATAGAAATATTTTTTAGTTATTTACTTTCTTCAGAGACTGACTACCTCTGAACTTACGCGAAATTGTAGTTGTGTGGTTCAACGTTTGAGTCATAACGCAAAGTTTCGGCATCGCGATTTGGTGCAGCCAAAGCGAAGGCGAAGAGAGCAACGAAAACGATAATGAACTTCATGTTGAATTTAAATGTTTTTTATGTTTTTGATATTGTCAGTGTCGAATGTGCTTAAAGGTCGAGTGCTGTAAACCCAATGAATGACAACTCAGCGAGTGCGCGCCTATTTATAATAGACAAAATTAAAGTCGATTTGCATTGGCATTATTTGTCTTAATAGCAGATTTTTCGGTGCAATGTTGTAATCCAACATTTAGCAGAGTTTCTTGTTTTTATTTTAGGTTTCTTTATTGTGGGAACTTGTTTAACAAACGCTAGACGCTAGACACTAAACACTAAACGCTGTACGCTAATTTTCATATGAAATTGCACAATCGAACTATTTTTCGGGGTTAAAGACAAAATTAAAAATTGCAAATTTTATGTTTTATTTTTGATTGGCTTTATTCACTGCTCCGGCGTGAAGTTTATTGATCTCGTTGGCATAAATTGAATATTTCAAACTAATGTGCATTAATTATGCAGCTAATCAGATATCATTATCTTTATGCTTTTTACTTTATATTTACAATCGGCTTACTTCTGTATATAATGAAGGTGGAAGCGAGAAATTACAAACATAAACTCAACGTCTATCAACATAGCAACATTTATTCGCTCCACTTTACGTTTTTAATAAATTATAAAAAATGAAATTCGTCATTGTCCTTGCTGCTCTCTTCGCCTGCGCTTTGGCTGCACCAAATCGCGATGCTGAGACTTTACGTTATGACTCCAATGTCGAACCACACAACTACAATTTCGCGTAAGTTCAGACGCAGTCAGTCTCTGTACCCAGTAAACAACTAACAAATATTTCTATTCTTAAATATTACAGAGTTCAAACTAGCGATGGCAAATCTTTCCAAGAAGAAGGACAATTGAAAAATATCGGTACTGATGATGAAGCCATTTCTGTACATGGATCTTACTCATACGTCGGTGACGATGGTGTTACTTACCAAGTCAACTATGTTGCTGACGAAAATGGTTTCCAACCACAAGGAGCACATATTCCAGTTGCTTAAATTAAGCAAAGTCATTCATCTTTAGCTTTAGTGTTGATAGTTATAGTTTAAAAAAATTAATAAATTAAAAATTAAGTACAAAAAAGAAATGAAGTCTTTTTTTATTTCTCAACAAATTAATATATACTATATTTTATGGTTTTATGGTCAGCTTATAAACTAAATAATTAATAGGGAGTAAAAAGATTTTAAATTTTAATTAATTAATTAATAACATATATTAAATGAGCACTTGAGGGATTTCTTCAGACAGCGTTTAAATGAAAACAGCAGAGAAACAAATGTCCTTACTTGGTAAGTTAAAAATGAATAGCGAAATAAAAAAAACAAAAATTGATTTTTAAAAGTAATATGCCTAATATTGTGAGCGATGCTTTTTTTATTCGATTGGGCGAGTTAAGTGTTCCTTTTTATGTGGTCCTTAATATTTGATATATGGACAACATTCATCCATAGGCTCACAACAAACCATTGACGACCGTCACTCTAACCTAACTGACGACTAATCTTAAAACTTTTCCGATCACTGAGATAAGCTGAGATAAGTTATATTGACTATACTGAGTGTCACTGTCAAGCATAAAATGTGCGACAGAGAAGGATTGGGAAAGTATAATGAGAGCTATGTAAATGATAATACTTGATAGCCTACAAGAAAAATAGAAAAAAGTGGTGATTTTGACTAATGGAAAACATATAATGCAATAACTGAAGTGGTAACAAGAAAAAAGCAAAAGATATGTCTTCTGAAAGAAAATCTGAATACTACGCGTTGAGTTTTGCGAAAGATTAATTGCGGCTCAATATGACAAAATATCTAAATATTGGTGCAAACAGGGAAAAATGGTTGTTGAATGAAACTTTTAGTAATTTTGTAGACCAGGACTCCCTTATCAAATCCGTTAATGTTAATCAGGAAAATAATAATAAAAAAAGGTTTAGCTCAAATATAATAAACGAAATAGTATTTTAGAAACTAGAAAAGTACATTTATTTATTATTTATCAATGTAGTTTCAGTTTTAAACTTATTGTTCCAAAGTAATTTATTATATTAATTTAACAATATTACTTTCCTTACTAGTAAAAAATTCGAAGTTCCTGAGGAAGTCAATACTCTTTAACTTTAAGTGCTTTGTGTATTTTGATGATCAGCAATACTTTACTTATAGGTTGGATTGCATTTTATGGTAGTTCGGTTTTGTCATCAAATGCTGGAATATGAGACTAAAACTTATAAATCTTTACATTATGATTATTAAATAATTTTATTATTGAAAAATATGTATTTCGGATGTCCAAATGGCACATTAGTGGAGTCTTTTAGTTGAAGATTTGTCTAAAGGTCTTTCTTTAAGTATTTGCGATTAAAATATTCAGGTGTTGCCTTTTCACAGTTTCGACTTTATTGCTCCCTCATATTCGACTAGTCTGTAGCTAAATGAGAAGTGCCAATAGTGACCCCAAAACTTTGTAAAGTAACATACGTCTAATTTGAACAATTATTTGAGAATATTGTAGAGAGCAAATAATTTCGACTTATGGCTGAAAAAATAAGAATATTTAACAAAATATTTGATTACTTATTTTACAATTTCATTAATGAATTTTGGATTGACTCATTTAGAGAACACACGTAGGTTTTTCGATTAGACTAATCAGAGTTTCAGAGATGACGATGGTTATTACAAAATTTATGTATTAAAATTTGGGAGTGTGATTTAATTCAACTTAGATCAATATTTACTATAAAGCAGCTATAATAGTAAACTTGTTAAATGATTGATAAATGATTGATTTCAAGTTTCAGGAAAAAATTAGAATGCATTGTAATAGGTTACATACATATTGGCATTGCCTAAGAAACTGAACTGTTATAGTTTAAATTATATTCTGAGTTTATATTTGTATTTGATAGTCTGTTTCAGTCAGTAAAGCATGAGAGAAGCATAACCACATCTGTTTATAGTTAATTTACAAATATATCGGAATAATATAATAATTAAAAAAATATTAATTATTAAATTTTGCAGATACAACAAGATAACTTATTTATTTGAATTAAACTTTAGCTATGCAGGTTTCAAGTAAATTCTTTTTTTTAACGTTATCTACATAAGAATGAAAAACCGCAAATGAATTATTATTAAATAAATTATTATTATTGCGCCACTATTAATATTTATGGTAATTTTAATTTTTTTATAAAGACAAATTTTTTAAATATTAAACAAATTAGTTTTATTTTAAAATTATTGTGGGCATTTGGGATTGTTTATGGTGAGTCAGTCGTAGAATTTTTATTAAGTAAATTAAATTAAGAAACCTAATCCATCACATATTTATATTACATACTTGATTATAAATTCACAAAAGTCTGTAAATGATTTTAGATTCAGATTTTTATGTAAGAATTTTTCAACTTATTTTTAAATGTTACTATTGCTGAGTATTATTTTAATTATATTGTTAATTAAAACATATTATACTACATATTTCGCTCATGTAATTATATTAAAAAGTAAACTAGTTTAATAATTCTTTCTTGTAGAGATTACTCCAGTCTTAGATAATATTAGTAACATAGTTAACGAGTTAAGCAATATATTTTGATTATAAGATCAAAACCAAATACTGATAATGCAGGAAGTAACCGTTGAAGACTAGTTCATCTTCCTCTCTCATGCAGAATATGCTTTCAGAGGGCTGAAGTCCTATATTTGGGTTTTTAGTTTTTGACCGTTTTTTTCACTCGTAATTTTTTGTCTATTCCCTTATAAGAATGATTTTCGTATTCTTATAATATTACTAGCCGATTTTAGTTTTTGCTTCTACTCTAATTAAATCATAGCATCTTCTTTCAGGAACTGATTCGGCTCATTATT